CTTGGAAAGCCGAGTAGAGTTCACAAGAAGTCACGAACTCCCTGTCTCGTTCAGTTGCCCCCGACTTCGCAGAAGATCGCCCGGTCTGTGATCTTGCAGCGTGAAGCTCATGGGGCCCGCTAAACCGCTCAGCCTCATCCACTCCACAAACCACAGCAGCAGATACGGGTTGTACATGGTGGTGATCTAGATTGCACTTTTAAATCTTGATTGAAAACGCAATTCTTTTGAACTGCTTTTAGTGTTCTGTTTGTTGTCCTGCGATTAGCACGGCTGGGTACGTACGGTGCGAAGAAGTTCAACATACACGCATACATACCAAGGCCGTAGCCATGGAGTCAACATTGGGGGGGGGGGAATATCTTCCAGGGGGTCTAGAGGTCCCCCCCAGGAAAATATCTACATTTGAAAGCGAATTTCCTGCCTAAAATATAAAAAATTCACTAACACATGGGATGGACTTTTTATTTATTTTTTACAATAATGTCTAATAGTGTATATTGTATTACATTGCTCTGTTTTTTTATTTTCTTGTTTCATTGTATGTAATGGCAGATATTAGAGATTAATAAAGTACAACCATAACCACAATCATATAAACAGAAATATATGAATTGTTATATGAAGACAAGTCCAGATATTGTGGCCAAGGTTTATCAAATTGTTGTTTTTATTTGCATAGCATAGCAATTTAAAAAATATATTGTTTATAGCAATATATTCAGTTTCAGTTTCATTTATTTGGCATAGCCTGTGAGCCATTCGGCTCTTGAATCGGGTGCAACTGCAACAAACAAAAACATGAACAAGAAAACATCTTAAAGTGACTACGCGCAAACAGAAAAATCCAGGAAAATAGCAAAGTCTTCCAGAAAAAGCACCGTATATCAATGCTGTGTGCAAAAATCCCAGTGGGATGCAAGTCAAACAATAACAACCATAAGACAATTTAGAATAAAGTTATCAGTCTAACTCTGTACAACAACAAATATGGCTAAACCAAAACGTTTTCGAAATCAGCAAAATAAATCTATAAAAGCAATTAAACAGTGATCATAGGAACTGTGATTGAAATTTTACAATAAACGATACACATAACATGTACTATCAAACTTTGCAGCCACAGCTGGCTGCATGAGTCACTCCATAACAGCAGGAGTATCAGTAGGAGTATCAAAAATTTTCAATGCACCTTTAAAGATCAGCACACTATAATCAAAATACAAGATCATACATTGCAGCGGCCATCCGGAGCGAAACATTTGATTTCAGGCCACTGAATAGCAGTGGCAGCTAGGGGCGTACAACTCCTCTAGAGCAGTTTTGAGTGAAGATCTCGCAGGTAGTGATCCAAGTTGCAGTTTATTGGCGATATCATTCCAGACCCTGGGGGCATCAACAGATAAGGCCCTTCCTCCAGTATTTGTACGGCTATAGGGAATGTGAAGCTGGTAAATAAACGAAGGCCTTTGGTCACATTTGTTCTTCGAAACAAAGAGGAGATCCAGCAGGTTGTCTGCAGATTTTTTTGTAAGTACAACGTGAATAAATAAGATCTAATGCACAAGCCGTCGAACATTAAGAGATGTTAAATTTGACCCAGTGGGGGGGACATTTTGAGCATATTTTTATAATTGCGGGGGGATGTGCCCCCCCCCCCCAATATATATTATAATTACGGCCTTGATACATACATACATGATATACAAATGGAACATTAAAATCTCCCCGGTCAGTGTGCGCTGAATGTGATCACCACCCCTAACAGCACCGTGGAATGTGTAACGACTCAATGGCTCGGTTCACAAATAATAACATTGACTTCTTTATACAGGAGAGGCACACCAAGTAGTAGGATTGGTTTTCAGGAGGGTCTTGCCGCTACATTGAGTGTTAAGTTGCAAGATGTTTTTAGCCTATTAACGACGAGTTGTGTTTAATATTATGATTATTTTTGCTCTACACGTGTGGGAGGAAACCGGAGCACACCCCACGCCTCAAGCAAAGTTGCAGACTTAAACGGATTGGGACGGGTCCACTTGCTGTACAAAGATCCCCCGTATAGCCTGCACAGACTGTTGGGGCAAGTGCTTTTAGCGAGTAGCACCTATGAAGGCCAGAGCGCTACACGAGGGGGTGGGTGGCCAGCACCACGCCCGACCGCCTTTGTCTCCCCAGTGGCGATGTTTGTAAACACCTCACCAGGTACTAATTGGAGGCTGAGTCGACCTAGGGGAGGCCCAGGACCAGTTCAGATAAATGTCACTGGGTGTTGGCCGTGAGCGGCAGTCGAACTCGGGTCGCCGGGTTCGTAGCGCAGTGCGCTCACCGCTACTACACTACCGCTGCCCATGTACGTGTGTATATGATCCCGGGGGTGTACACTTAACTCCGCGAGATGAGTCGATCGCCGCATCGCCGACCATCAACAGACTACAAATGACTGCATCGTGGACATTATGCGAGAGCCGGGGTACTATGTTACCCCGGGGTGCCACTATAAGGTCCATGTGTTTCTACATCGCACATAGAACAGTGCCAAAAGAAGCCACCACCGCCCGAGCAAAAGCGGAATCACCACGGCGATCCGCTCCGCTCCTCCGGCCGCAATCGTCTGGCTCAACCACCTCAGTGGACAATTACAGCACTGATTTGATGGCAAGGTTGTGAAGTCGCAACCATTATGTACACAGGGTGGTCTTGTGGCCCTCAATTCATTCTCTAAAACGTAATGTTTAAGTAAGGTTTATTTGGAACAGAAATGAATATTCAAAGGAAGAAATATGTTCGGGGTCAATTAATTAAGATATCTGGATCACCATGCTCGTGCATACGTTCTCTATATGTTGTTGGGTGAACTGTGCAGAACTTGCATCAGGCACGGCAGTGGCTAGGAGATGTTAACTACCTCGCCTGGTATACAGGAGGTCGTGGAGTTTGCATGTCTCTAGGCCTCGGCAAGGTAAGGTAATTTACCCTTTTTACCGGGTACAAGGGCAAAGGGTAGGGTAAAGGTAGCACGAAGTATTACCCGGTAAAACCTTGTTTACCATAAATACCTTGTTTACCGTAAACACCTTGTGTACCGTAAACACCTTGTGTACCGTAAACACCTTGTTTACCGTACACACCTTGTTTACCGTACACACCTTGTTTACCGTAAACACCTTGTTACCGTACACACCTTGTTTACCGTAAACACCTTGTTTACCGTAAACACCTTGTGTACGTAAACACCTTGTTTACCGTAAACACCTTGTTTACCGTGTAAACACCTTGTTTACCGTACACACCTTGTTTACCGTAAACACCTTGTTTACCGTAAACACCTTGTTTACCGTGTAAACACCTTGTGTACCATAAACACCTTGTTTACCGTACACACCTTGTTTACCGTACACACCTTGTTTACCGTAAACACCTTGTTTACCGTAAACACCTTGTTTACCGTAAACACCTTGTTTACGGTAAACAAGGTGTTTACCGTAAACACCTTGTTTACCGTAAACACCTTGTTTACCGTACACACCTTGTTTACCGTAAACACCTTGTTTACCGTAAACACCTTGTTTACCATACACACCTTGTTTACCGTAAACACCTTGTTTACCGTAAACACCTTGTTTACGGTAAACACCTTGTGTACCGTACACACCTTGTGTACTGTACACACCTTGTTTACCGTAAACACCTTGTTTACCGTAAACACCTTGTTTACCATAAACACCTTGTGTACCGTAAACACCTTGTTTACCGTAAACACCTTGTTTACCTACTACCTTGTTTACCGCTCGCTAAAAGCTCCGTGGTGCAGTCCGTGGCCTCCATTTAAAATTGCAACCATCGGGAGTCTTCTATAGATGAATAAAGCGCTCTACCTCGCATTTACCTGTTGTAAACCTTTTTAATGTGTAGTAGTACCCAAGTAATTACCCTGTAATCGGGTAATTTGTATGGGGTAAGGGTAAAAGGTAGGGTAAAGGTAGGCTCGTTGTTTTGACCTTTGACCAGTATTTGTACGTGTCTCTCTCCCCGTGGACGCGTGGATTTTTCTCTGGGTCCTCTGGTTCCCCCTCCACATTTAGAGACGTGGTTCTTGACATTTACTGCAGCCTTGCACCGCTTTGGTTCTCAATCTTTAAAATAACAATAATGTATAAACACCTAGGGTTTTATAAAATAAAATAATTGTACTTACTACGTGTCCGTGCTTAATTTGTGTTTTGATGATTTACCTTACACAGAAAATGTGGCCGTGTCTCGTGATGCACCCCAGGTGAAGAACAACCACTAGTTTAGAGTTTTTGACTGCTACTATAAATTTCCACGCGATAAGCCACTGCATTGGGTTATCATTCGTGATAGCGAGGTCGCTTCTGAACAAGAGCGAAACAGCTCAGTGGGGCCTTACCTGGTAAAATACAAAAATGGTTTTAAAGTTTCGATTTTGAGAAAGTTGTCTTTTTGCTCCGGGATTAGATAAGAGCACAGGCGCAACGTGGGGCCATCGGCGGATGCAATGGGATGGGGACGGTGGGAAAACGATATCGTGGCAATCGTATGAACTGTACAAATATCGTATCGCTGCATATCGCGGCCAGTCTGGCAATACACCCAAGTTGTACGTAATGCAACCCCCAAGACATGTGCATCCTATATATATAACCAGAATATAAATCAACATCATGATAAAGACACAATACATGTACTCGTGCAAACCCGTCTCCCGTCGTGTTGCCTCGAGCAAGCTGTTGGGGAAAGTGCTGTTAGCGAGCACCTATTAAGTTTACAAGTGGGTACAGGACTCATTTAGGGCCGAGTCCACCTAGGGGAGGAGGCCCAGGACCGGTTAAGATAATCGCCAACCTGCCGGTGGTTGGCCGCGTGCGTGAATCAAACCCGGTGCGCTAACCGCTGCGCCACCGCTCCCCACGCGTGCTTTACACGCGCACATATATGTACACGTGTGTGTGTGCAGTATGTTAGTAACACTGCCTCACCTTGTATGAATCGGTGGCCAGCAGTATGTTGAACTCGTCACCGTCCATCTCGAGGGTATGTGTGTGGGTATGTGTGTGGGTAGGTGTGTGTGGGTACGTGTGTGGATAGGTGTGTGTGGGTATGTGTGTGTGGGTATGTGTGTGGGTACGTGTGTGGGTATGTGTGTGGGTAGGTGTGTGTGTGTGTATGTGTGTGGGTATGTGTGTGGGTATGTGTGTGGATAGGTGTGTGTGTGTGGGTACGTGTGTGTGTGGGTATGTGTGTGGATACGTGTGTGTGTGTGTGGGTATGTGTGTGGGTACGTGTGTGGGTATGTGTGTGGATAGGTATGTGTGTGTGGGTACGTGTGTGTGGGTATGTGTATGTGTGTGTGGGTATGTGTGTGTGGGTACGTGTGTGGGTATGTGTGTGGGTACTTGTGTGTGTGTGGGTATGTGTTTGGGCACGTGTGTGGGTATGTGTGTGTGGGTATGTGTATGTGTGTGTGAGTATGTGTGTGTGGGTACGTGTGTGGGTACGTGTGTGGGTATGTGTGTGGGTACTTGTGTGTATGTGGGTATGTGTGTGGGCACGTGTGTGGGTAGGTGTGCGTGTGTAGGTACGTGTGTGGGTATGTGTGTGGGTATGTGTGTGGGTACGTGTGTGTGTGGGTATGTGTGTGGGTACGTGTGTGTATGTGTGTATATGCAGGCTGATGTCACGGGGTTCAACAGGGTTTGTTGCTCTGTACTCGGTAGCAGCAGCAGCAACGGCAGTCAGAGTGGACGACCTCCTTTGTGGCTAACTCTCTGGAAAGGATATTTATAAGGGGCGGGCAATGAGGTGTCAGTGACGAGCTTCTGGGTGCGAGCCGCCTCTGTAACGTGAAAGGAATGTGAGGGCTGGAGGGATGGAGGAGGGATGGAGGAGGGGAGGAGGGAAGGAGGAGGAGGAGGGGAGATTACGGCAGGAATTCGATCTGGAGAAGGTCTCGAGCGACTGGTTTGGCGAGGGTAGGGGAGTAGTAATGTGGAATAAACAGTTGCCACCAAACACCGCTAGAGGGCACTGCTTGACAATCCTTTGCCACAGATCATACATCCATGCACGTCTCTCTCTCTCTCCTTCATACATGGAATTTTGTATGCATGTCGAACGTCTACGTAGCCAACCGTGCTCATTTGGAGGTGCTCGCACAATGCGCATGCATCATGTACGTTGACTCATTAACACCTCCCCCCACGTGGCGCAAGAGCGCAGAAGCGTGGTCACCAGATCTACGCCTCCTCTATATAAGGAACGAAACAGGAGGACTTCTCCACAAATCTGGCTGTCGCCTGATGAAGCTAGCTGTAATTACTGGCGAAACGTCGTACTCAGATTGTAAATGTTATGGCTTGGCTCTCCAACACACCGGTGTTGCTGTACTAGTGACGAATTGGCCACGTTCTGTTTACGTGACAAACCTTACTAGTTGGCTGTGTCGGGTGGTGGCGGGTTTTAACGACACATTTATATATTTACGCGATCTGACCCAAAAAACCCCTCTATTCTTGAGGTGCTCTGATAATAGATGGCATTGTCTTTGAAACTGATTGGTCCACACCATAGACAGATTTTTTTTGAGCTGAGTCTCAAAGTGTTAGACCAGACAGCAATGCCATATATATAATTATCAGAGCACAAGTACGTGTGGTTAATGCAGACAGAATTCCTTTAAGAAAATTACGTTTGGGGTTTTAACATCCTAACACCTAAATTTTGATTTAAAGCTTTCGTCACTGCAGTGATTCATTTTCTTGGTTCTTTCAGTAAAGTCACGTTGAAGGGAAACAATAAAATAATAAAATATAAATAAAACAATAAAATTCTCACGACGTTTCGACTGCAACACAAGCAGTCATCATGACTGCTTGTGTTGTTTTATATATTTAATTATTTTATTGTTTCCCTTCAACGTGACTTTACCGAAAGAACCAAGAATATGAATATCCTAACACCTGTTTTATTGCCAGAAAGGGTAAAACCGATTGTTATATTTTGATACTGGCATGAAAGGTCCCCATACGTTTGTATTGCTCGCTTATCCAAGGAAGCCTCACCGAGTGCCGTGACTACTTTTCAGGAGGGTCCTGGAAGGTTTTCGCAGTTTGGGGGTGGTGGGGCGATGGTTGCTGCCCTGTGCGAATCTAATTGAGTAATTCTGCCGTCTAGAAACAATTTTAACTTTTTTAAAAAATTTGGACCACGTCGCCGGCACGGGATCTCTAACGTCCACTGTGAAGCAAGGACGTTATTAACCAGTTTAGATCATAACTGGCTGTGATGTTCCCTTCCTACCTGCCTATGTTAGCAGTTATTTTCGACTCTCTGAGTTACATTCACGAACATAGCTACCGTTAATCTTAGGTTATTTCGGTAAAGTCACGTAGAAAGAAAAAATAAAATAAATAATAACATACGACGTTTCGATTGCAACACAAGCAATCATCATCAGGTACAAATGAAAGAGAAAACAGATCTAGTAAACTTACAATGCAATACGACACAGAGAGTCGGCTGACAAAACAGTCAACACCCTACCTGGTTGATTACGTTCTTCCAAAGATTGCTAAATTTGAGAGAGAGACAAAACACAGACACGAAGACACATAGATAGACCCATAAGCAGAGGGAGATAACACAGAGACACACAGAGAGACACACACACACATAGGCACACAGAGAGACGCCTCTGTGTCGAGGCCTTAAATAGAGAGAGAGGGGGGCAGAGAGAGAGAGAGAGAGGTGGGGGTAGAGAAATTAGCATGTCAGTGAGAGATTTGGAGCTTTCGTGACTGCAGGAAATGATATAGCACGATGACACAGAGAGAGAGAGAGAGAAAACACACTTAATCAAACAAACTTAGTAAAATTTGGAAATGTAATGCAATGCAACACAGAGAGTCGGTCAACACACAATTAACGCATAGCCTGGTTGATTACGTTCTTCCAAAGATTGCTAAATTATAAGTTGCGTGAAATTTTGTCTCTCTCTCTCAAATTTAGCAATCTTTAGATAAACGTAATCAACCAGGTAGGGTGTTGACTGTTATGTTAGCCGACTCTCTGTGTTGTATTGCATAATATTTCTAAAATACTAGGTTTGTGTTCTCTTTTTCTTTTGTACCTGATGATGATTGCTTGTGTTTCAATCGAAAGTCGTATGCTATTATTTAATTATTATTCTATTTCCAGGTGACTTTACCGAAACAACTAAAGAGTAATTCCTGCAGTCACGAATGCTGCAAATCACAGTGACCGTCGCTCGTTTTCCTCGATGTGGTGGTGGCTTCTGCCCAGTTCTCTCCGATTTTACATGTACATGCAAATTTCTTACATTGACATGCTAATCTCTCACAATACAATGGCCAACCCCCCACAGCTTCGTTGCCGTGGGTATGGCTCAGCTCTCCGATCTTATATTTACATGCAAATTTCATCTCTAGCCCCACCCATTTACCTTTGGGTGACACCCATCTCAAACCTTTATAATATCGTGCCTTAGCAGCTCTCCCACCATATATTTTTCCTGCCTCAGCAGCTCTCCCGCTATATTTTTTCACCTGATGACGATTGTTTGTGTTGCGATTGAAACGTCATGATATTGTTATTATTATTATTCTTTTTCTATCTACGTGGCTTTACTGAAAGACCCAAAGAATATAAACTTTTTATTTGACCAGGTAAGGTCCACTGAGCTATATAGCTCTTTTACAGAAGTGACCTGGTCACAAATGATAGCTCAACAAAGTGGCATATCATGTGGAAATCTATTGTAGCCAAATACTCTCAACGCGTGTTGATTATAAATTTGGAGGGTAAAAAACCGGAAGACGCGGAGAGAAAAAAACACGTGACCACGGGGAGAGAGACAGGAAAACTCCAAATATACAGGCATTAGTTTCGGCATCGAACCCACGGCCTCCAGTAAACCAGGCGAGGTTAGTTAACATCTCACCACCGTGACACCCACTACCACGCATACGACGGCGGGATTGACACTCAAATTGTACCCTCCTACAATCCACATAGTAGTCACCAGCTAGCTACGAGCTGTCCACCGCTGGATGTAGTTTCAAAATGTAAGGTCAGTTGCCGCTTTACGTCTAAACGTAGGTTTTGTCCGTCTACACGGTGGAAAAACCATATCCACGAGCGGATGCCGGAACGCTTTCCAACGTGCATTTATTTGTCTCTGTAAATTTTGACTTAAAACTTTCGTGACCGCAGGAATTCATATTCTTGGTTATTTCTGTAAAGTCACATAGATAGAAAATAAAAATACACAAGCGATCGAAATGTCGTAGTTTTTTGCTTTAATTTTTATTTATTTTGTAATTATAATTCATTTTTATTTTTATTTTCTATCTATGTGACTTTACCGAAATAACCAAGAATATGAGTCCCTGTAAATGTTTAATGTGCAGCATAGAAACAGGCAGCTGTCAGGGCAAAACGCGATGGCATATTTACAAAGTATGTTTTGTTGTGTAGTTTGAAGATAATTACAAATATAACCTGGCTTTAGCTATAAAGAGCAATGCTTGACACTTTCAACGCAGCCAAAATATGATGCACTTCCGATAAGCACGGTTGGCTACGTACGGTGCGAAAGAAGTTCAACATACACACATGTTGGTACACCCGCGTGCCCGAGGGAAATTGCGTTTCCAGGAAACCTCCTAAACCCCGAATTTAGCTTCTCAACTCCAGTCCTCGCGACCGCCCCACGACACGGCTTTCCGTGATTACCAATCACCACATGGATGGCAGAGGGTCGCAATCAGAAGGACCTGGGTTCGATTCCTGACACGAACGCCTTTGTAAGTGGGAGTTTGTCTTTTCTCGCCCTGTTCCGCACTTGGGTTTCTCCCATCGTTAAACGCATCGGGTACAATGTCATTGGTGATCTATATATTTGTTTTTGGGTTGGACCACCTGGTATTTTCATTGTCCTTGCCATAAAACTACTACTTGGCCTGAACCCAAAAACAAATATGAACCATTGTATGGGCTACGAGAGCCTGCATTTTTTAGTTAATACTAGCAGGAAGTACTCGGCGTTGCCCGGGTCTTAAAAATTATTCAGAACTACTCTTAAAAATCTAACAGCAGTACGTGCTGACTG